TCCTTCTCCTCCCCTTCTCCCTCCCCCTCATCCAGCTCTTCCTCCTCCTCCTCTTCTGCCTCTTCCTTCTTTCCTCTTACAAGTGAAATAAGAAGAAGAAACAATTATTCTGCTTTTTCTTTCACAGCAAAAGCCAAACTTCATCCCTGTGATTGCCTTTTCCAATCTGGTTCTGGTTACATATTTGACCTTTTGGTCACTTCATATTAAGCTACACTAGGCACTCAAGTGACAAATGACAAAAATAGAAAGAATGCGAATTTACACAGTGTTCAACAGGAGCTTCGCCCTCTGCCTCTGACTCAGCCTGAATCTTTCTTTCCTGCAGGTGCATGGAGACACCGTGGCTCCCTCATCATCCCAGCAGCCTCTTCCCCTTCTTTAGATGGAGACGGATGTCACGGAGAGCACGAGGGCCTCTCTGCCCTCAGGCCAGCGCGCCCCAGCCCGGCTCCAGCAGGCACTGTGCTTTCCCCCTCCCTCATCTCTAGGAGCTGTGGACTCATTTTATTCAGAATTTACTGCAGTTTCCTCCACACAGCACCATCAGCTGGGGAGGCCACTGGCCCAGGAAAGCCTGTAACTCGTGGTCTCAGGGATCTAGAGGTGAACCAGAGCCCTTGGCCTCCAGCTGCTCTGACTGGGGCTGGTTTTGTCCCCACAGAGCAGCCTGTACACAGAGAAAGGCCTGGGGGTGGCGGCCCTCAGCACCATCTATGGGGCGGTGCTTGTGTCCTCCATGTTCCTCCCACCTGTTCTCATTAAGAAGTTCGGCTGCAAGTGGACCATCGTCATCTCCATGTGCTGCTACGTGGCCTTCTCCCTGGGAAACTTCTATGCCAGCTGGTAGGCCCCGCACAGCACGCAGCCCCGAGCCCCCCAGACTCAGGGCCACCCACATGGCTGGCATTTACCCCGACTACTGCCCATTGCTTCTGCTTTAAGATGAGCTCTGCTTCCCCAAGTCCCTCTCTCAGCTTCTGGGACAGGACGATAGCGTGGCTTTCTTCCCATTTTTTCCCACCAAGGTGTCTCTGTCCCCTCTGCTGGGTGCATGCCCTCCTCCTGATTCCCAATCCTGACCTTTCCTAAGGTCTGTTGTGGGCCTTCAGCTTTCTTCTCTGTGCCAAGGTACTTTTACAACCCCAGGAAGGAAGGGGACAATCTGATGAAGACGTAGAGGGTGAATTTCAGGGAGACTGAGCAGAACGTGACTGACGGACCCAACACCGTACCTCATCCCTATCACAGAAAGTGGATGTGGCAGGGCTGGAGCCAGTGCCTGGCCTGAGCTCTTCCTACCCTCTGATGGGAACAGGTCTTCAGGGACCAAACTCTAAGCCCCTGGGCCACGTGCCTTTGTTCCCAGAGACACCCCATCAAGCATCTCTTTGAGGGACACTCTGTTGTCACACGGACATACTGATTATGACAGCTTCACATTCTTCTTTTTCTCCTTACCATCGAGTTTTCATACAGAGTCCTCATTGGGGAGGACAATAAATAAACAAATAAATCATTTTTTAGTGTAAATCTGTTAGAAATATCTAGAAACCCTCCCAGCTCATTGTTTATAGTTGCATCAAATACAAAGAAACATCACTGGCACTGAATTTCACTCTTGCAAATGAACCTGACCCAGAAAAGGCACTGGTTTTGCTCATTTAACTTAGTCTAATGGAGAACCCATCAGTCTAACCAATCCATAAACATAATAATATGCTTACTTACAATGGGCCAGGCATGGAGCTTCTTTCTCCACAAACATAGGGGAGAACGGGGGGACAAGGCACCGTATGTTTGTGTTTCATTCTACAGGTACACCTTGATCCCCACCTCCATCCTGCTGGGACTGGGAGCCGCTCCGCTGTGGTCCGCTCATTGCACATACCTCACGATCATGGGAAACACATATGCAGAGAAGGCAGGAAAAATTGGCAAAAATGTAATGAACCAGTATTTTGGCATCTTCTTCCTCATATTCCAGTTATCCGGCGTGTGGGGCAACCTGATCTCGTCTCTGGTATTTGGCCAAAAGCCCACTCAAGGTAAAAGGAAATGAGGCTCTGTGATGATCACCAAGAGGGTCCCCGGTCCCATTTACACCTGCCTTTATTCCGTGACTCAAGCAGGTGATCATGCAAGGCTCTTCCCCAGGACAGTCTGGGTGGGTCTGAGGGTCCGTCTCATCCACTGGTGCCCAGCGATTCTGACTCTGACCTCCCCTGGGCAGAGGGAACATGTGCAGAGGAGTGCCCTGGGGAAACTGAGGGCCACTGCCAGTGGAACTTGGGTTCATGGGGTCATCACTATCCTTTTGACTGGCTAAGAATGGGTTTGACTAACTTATTTTCCCACTGAATTGATCCGTTGACCTGTGTTTTCAATGTCACACCTAAGACCACTTATCCTTAACTGACTTGAACATTTGATGACTGATAACTCAACTCATCTGTTTTTACCTGACCATGCCCAGACATGGATATAAAGCATGTGTCTGTTTTACGGCTGCAGCCTTTGATGTCTGTGTTGAGAATTTAAACCAAGAGCAGAGGAAATAAAGCTCTTCAATTCTTACAGGAAACCTTTATCAATGGGGGAAAAGTCCTAACGCTCCAGACTGTTATCAGAATTATTTCTCTCTCTCCATCCTGTTCCTCCGTCCTGCTGTCACATATAAAGCCCTGCCTTTGGGAAACTCTGTAATCAAAATCCTTCTTCCCTTTTTTCTCATGTGATGTCATCCCTTGCTAAATGCAACTGAAGAAGGGAAACCAGAGAGTTGATGGATACCAATTTTTACTTGTTATTGCTGTCCCTGTCAGCAATAATCCAGCAGAAACTGGGATTGAAGTTCAGTCTATCACAGGACTGGTATGAAATGGAGTGAATAGGTTGACTTTTAAAGACATTCAGGCAAGTGAGCTTGATTCTCTAAGTGATCACAGGACACAGACTTGAGGGCTTGGAGGCATCTGGAGAGCAGTGCAAGGCTTCTCAACCTTTTTATGCCTCTGGCCTCTGTGGGAGATCAAGATTTGGCCATCCTAAAATATATCTCTTTACCTTGATTGTTTTCTCTGAGGGACATTTGACCTCCCCCACTAACTGCCTAAAGAATTTGACATGGTGGCTCCTTCCTGGAACAGATCTATCATGATGGCTGTAAAGATAACGTAGGATAAATGTTGTTACAATAGGAAAGGCACCAACAAGCCCATCTTATCATTGGAAGTTCTGTCTCTCTGGCCACATTCTCTGGATGGCCCTGCAAGGAGTTGCCAGACAAACATTTACATTTATAAGGGAAATCTCCATTTGTAAAGGTATCTCCCTCTCTGTTTTGGGAAGAGGGGGGGATGGCCTCATTTCTAGAGGCTTATCAATGTGGAAGGTGAGGCCTTAAATCTGCATAACAACCTTACTCTTGTTTACTGTGCTTTAGTGGTAATCTCCTGTAACTGACTCCCCCCACCCCCAACATCCTCCTTTGTCATTGGCTGAACGTGGTATTTAAGACGAGAATTTCTGGTATTGTGTTGAGAAAATGCAGTGTCCCTGCTTTCTCCCATGTATACATGTTATTAAACTTGGTATTATTTTCTCCTGCTCACCTGTCTTGTTAATTATTTGGCCAGCCATAAGAACCTTAAGGAAAAGGGCAGAGGGAGATTCCACCTCTTCCCCCGACACCTCCATGCTGCCTTCTCATTCCACGAGCTACATAGCTCACCAGCCAAGGAGATTTTCTGGAGTGCTATATGGTGAAATCTGTATTATGAAAACAATAAAACACTGAATATTCTTTCTTCCATGATGTACTTTCCCTCCCTCCAGAGATTCTGACATGGGCCTGACTGAGAGTCACTGATAGTTCAAATTCTATTCTTTTAACAGATAAGGAAACTAACATTCAGACAAGGTAGGGAATAACCTGCCCCAGGTCATGGAACTGGTTGCAGATGAATCTGAAGGAGAACTCAGCAGTCTTGACATCCATTGTAATGCACTTTACTTCTTCTTGATTAATTTTAAAAAGTTAAAAATTGTCGGTTATATCAGGAAAGTAACACAACAAGTAACCAACGTTTATTGTACCTTTGTCCAGAGTGTCTTAAAATCAAGTATCCATACATGTGCCGAAGGGGAAGTGTATTTGGTGACACTTGGTTAAACCCATGCCTTGTGACATTGACCTATCGTGATGATGTGCCTTCAGCATATCCATGCCCTTTGCACTGGCACCTTCATCCCTCAGTTCCCATATCCTGGCAGATTACCTGTGTCCTCATATTACCTCTTTGTTTCTGACTTCACAGGTGCCATCCCAGAGGAGCAGCTCCTGTCCTGTGGGGCCAGTGACTGCCTGATGGCCACGGCATCCACCAACAGCACCCAGCGTCCCTCCCAGGAGCTGATCTACACCCTGCTGGGCATCTACACGGGTATGTGCTCAGCAGCCCTGGGCGGAGTCAAAGGGAAGCAAACCCAACTCCTTCCTGTGTTGAAAGAGACCATCACCCCAAAGTACAACTATCTTTCTTTATATGAAAAATCCCTGCAAAATGTGTTCAGCTGGGTCCTACTCAGATATTTTTCATGTGAAATCAAATACACCAGACCACTGCTGTCTGATAGAGTTTCGTGTGATGATGGAACCATTTTACATCTGCACAGTCCAATGCAGTAGCCATTCCATATGCATATTTACATTTCAATTAACTAAATTAAAAATACTGTTCCTAAGTCACAAGAGCCACATTCCACATTCCATCCACATTGGAACGTGGGGATAATGGCTACCATGTTGGACAGCACCGTGGTTGATCACGGCACTGGTAGATTGGCTACTTGTATTTCAACTACGTCCAAACAACCCTGGAAATCCAAAATCCCTATAAATTGCCAACTTTTTTGGAGGAATGTATTTGAATGGCTCCTGCTGAAAGGCTGGTGTAGGGCATGGGTCTCTCCTGCACCCATCATCCTTGGATCAGTGAGGCCTCAGGGCTCTCAACTACTGGTCACAATGTCGCTGAAGGCACACAAACATTAGAAGTTCATGAAAAGATGGTTGCCCCAGGGAAGTTAATTCTCATAATGATTCTTATCCTTAGAAGCTCGTTTTAATGGAAAATATTTATGTTAATTATTTTCTAAACTATTTACTTTTATAGCCATAGATTTATTACTACTTTGCAGGGGGTACCTTTAGAGTTTTGTTTTGGTTCTTTACCATTTGAAGGGAATTTAAATCTATTCTTTGTCATTGTTGAGTTTTGGAATTCGTAAAGGTCTTGGAATGTGACCTTCTTAAAGACGGAGGGGCTGATATGTCAGATTTGAGTGAGACTGAGTCCAGCATTCTCCTGGGAATCAAGGGTTAGAAAGACTGTGTGCACTGTCAGAGTTTGTCTACACGGTGAGACAGTAAGCTGCCCCCAATACTCAGGTCTCTTGCAAAGTCACTTCCAAATCAGAGGCGCTGAGTGAGCACTTGTGAAACAGTCAGTTTATGGTGCAAAGCAGCGTGAGCACTAGCATGTGCCCAGCAGTATGCTAGCTCTTGTGTGGTCCAGAAACTAGTATGACAAGAACCTCATCTTTAAGCTTAGAGTCTGATAAAGGGGACAGACATGCATTCAACCAAGCAAAATTTGGTGTGACAAGTGTTTTGAACAAAGTTGTCGGTTGACATGTATTTACGTCTTCTTGGGAAATTGGGTTCTAGGACAGCTTTGATGGAGAGGCAATACCTGAGCTGAGTCTTGAAGGATGAGTAGGATTTTACCAGGCAGAGAGGGGAGGTGAGAGGGCACTGAAGGCAGAGAAGCCCAACAAGGAGCCGGCGTGCCTGGAGGACAAGCGTGTGGGAGCAGACAGAGGAGCTAGAGATGGGGGTGACTAGCTGTGGCCCACGGTGAAAGACCTTGATGACATGGTGAAGAGTCTGGACACATGCAGATTCGCTTCCTTGACAGGTTCTAGCGTTAGTGTAATTTGGAAGTACAGAAAAACAGTGGGCAGAGCAACCAGTTAAGAGGCGAGTGCAGCAATGCACAGCAGGCAGGAAGCATAAGGACACGGCACAGCGAGGACAGCGGGGAGGTCAAGAGAGTTTAGAGCGAAAACCAGCAAGACTTATTAATGGATTGGACACGGGATGTGGGAAAGGAAGGGGCCAAAACAACCAAGAGGTTGAAAGAAGAATTCATGCAGTCCGGGAGATGTCTAGCCTACTGTGAGGCAGAATGCTGTGTCCACGAGGCAGATGGAAGCACCGTGTAGGGCTCAGGCTGGAGACCAGAGAGAAGGTGTGCACGTGGGAGTGGATGAGATTCTTAGCGAGAAAAGATTGTTAGGAAGCAGTGGATGCACCAGCACTGAAGGCCGGGCAGAGGGTGGGAGCCTTTGAAGAAGGCAGGAGACAAAATCAGTGGGGTCGGGGACACCCAAGATGGCAGCAGCAGCAAATGAGGGGTGCTGAGCTGGTCACAAGTGGCAAAGTCTTCCAGGAGGTTCAGGGATGAGGTTGGACACCAGGAGGCCATTGACGCCCATCAAGAAAGTGATTTTGGTGGGTGCTTCTGTGCCAGGGCCAGAGTGGGGTGGTTTGAGAAGTTTGTGGAGGGTGGAGACAGGGAGGTGGAAAGTGGGCCCCAGTTTGCTTCCACCTTCTCTAAGGCTTCTGCTGACCTGGAACTGTTCACTTGTTCTCCCAGTGGGTCCCGATATTTCCATCAATGTGGTGTGGATGGGAGGTCAGCCGGGCCTGTGCCTTCTCAACATTCTCCCTCACCATCTCCTTCACACAGTGGGAGGCTGGGGCCTCATGGAAACGACTGGACTGCATCAAGGTCCTCAGGTCCTCACCCCAGCTCTGCAGCTTCTAGTCATGCAGTCCGATGAGTGAACCCTCCCATCTGTAATACACAGGGGTCTGAGCAGGGGTGGAGTTTTTTCCATAAAGGGCTGGACTGTAAATATTTTAGGCTTGAGGACTCTGTTCCAACACTGTCTTTGCCATGGAGAGGAAGCCACAGACAACGTAAACGAATGAGCATGGCTGTGTTCCGATAAAACTTTATTTACAAAAGTGGGCAGCCAGCAGAATTGCGCTGGAGAACTGTAGTTTGTTGACCCTGTTATCGAGGAACAGCACAGGCCACGGAAAAGTGCATTCTGCATTTCAGGCCCTTTGTTACATTTCTATCCTCAAAATATGGCTCTCTGCTGCCTTCCCCAGCAAGGGTGCACCTCCAGTCCCTGAACTTTCACGGGTCCTCTGGCAGCAGCCCCAGCCCCGCTGGTACATTATTCACGATTCCTGGTTCACGGAGAGTCAGCAGCCTAAGTGAGCAGAAGTCCAGACGTTTCTGTAAAACAGAGACCATGCATATGTAATATGGAGAAACTGTCTCTTATTATTCGGGTCGTGGCTTTCTTGCAGGGTTTTCTATGTCTCCTTCCTTTAAGCAAGGCCATGCTACCAGAAAGACAAAAAAATTAGAAAAGCAGAAAAATGGACTAAAAGAAGGAGAAGGCCACCTCCCTGGAGTAATTTCTCAGGATTTCTGAGCTTTGTCCTCTTGAAGTTTCTTGCAAAGCCATTCTCTTTAGAATGCAGTATATTAGATGTGCAACACCAGCAGTTTCCCAATTCATGCCCCTTCGGAATGTTCTAGGTCGCAGGACAGCTCTGGACACACACCTATTCCCTAGGAAACATGTGGCTTCTATACCCATGAGCCACCTCTCACGCTCTGCAGCGGGATCAGTGTCCTGGTGGGCAGCTCAGAACTTCACGGCCCTGCCTACAGAGTGAGACAGTTAGTGGAGAACCAATACACCTTTCCACGGGATTAGCACAGTTAATGCAGCTGGTGTGAAAGAGCGCTTTATAGTTGGAGTCCCCAGAGTGCCCCCATCCAGGCATGGTGACCTGCTGTGACAGCTGAGTGTCCAAGCATGACACTAGAGGAGATGAACAGTGACCGTGGAATGACCGTGGGCGAGAGCACTGCAGGTTTTCGCACAGCGTTTAATGAACTTGATTAAAGTGTTGAATTATCATGAAGTGGGGGGAGGGGTTTTGTTTACAGAAATAAAACTTAGAAGTAAACGAATACTTCTCTGGGTGGAAATGCATTAACAACGGGGTTTTCTGAGACAGCTGCGAGCACAGGTTTTATCATTTCTGCAAACAGCTCAGAAGAGAGTGGACTTTGTAAACCTCATGGTTTCGGTAACACTCAGCCAGCCAGGCCGGAGTGAGGTACCTGTCGGCTGTAAGAGACAGAAAAATAGTAGATATGGTTGGTCAGACGAAGGAAAGAGATGAAGTCATTCAAATCATCTTTAATGGATGACAGGTCTAAGCTATTTGAGTTAAGAATAAGTGATTGAAAACTATTCTGAAGGATTCTGACCAGCATTAAGGGAAAAGGGAAGACGGTCGGTGCTCTTGAATTAATCTGTGATTCCCAAAGCACTGGGTACAATTATCATCGCCTGAGAGGAGAACAGGAAAGAGAGAAAGATATCACAAAGGGCGCCTAAAATCATTAACAGAATGAAAAGTTTTCTATGTAAAGGAAAAAAAGGCTAAATAAACATTTCTCCTCCATCTAGAGAAAGGAAAGTATATCAAATAATGAAGTGGGTGGATGGGAGAGAAAGAGATGTAGTCATTACATTTTGGAATTATGAAATTACAGGATGTCCCCTCAAGGGGGGAAATGATTAGTTTTCTTAAAAAAAAATTTTTTTTTGCATAGATAGCGGATTCACATGGTTCAAAATACAAATATTGTAAAAAACCATGCGGTGAAAAGTCCCCCTTCACAGCTGCCCCTCACCACCCAGTTCTTCAGTTCCCACAGCGAACACGTGTCTTCTTTAGTTCCTAGATGTATTTATTGTACATATAAATAAATAGGTCTTTATGCCACTCCTTATAGTAGATGCACAGTTCTGCACCTTATTTTTTCTCTTAGCCATTTCTCTTGGGGGATTTTCCCATCTTAGTATAAAAAGAACCTCTTCTTTTACTGTCTTCAAATGCACAATATTCCATTGCAATTGGGATCTACCATAACATATGTAACGATTTCTTATTCAGGACTTTTAGATAAATAGATTTGGAATAAATAAAAAGTGTAGCAAATGGTAACCTTCCAGCACTTAAATTCTGAGAAGGGAGACTGCCTGTTGGTAGAAATTGCTTTGAGGATTGGGATGAAAGAGGCGATGGTTAAGGACACTAAGTACATCGGGGGGTCTCTCCCCGAGATGTATTTTGTGTCACTGAAGACAATGCTGGCCGACTGTGGCAGGTTTCACAAGAAAGCCTGCCAGTCGCAAGTTAATCGTAGAACCATCAGGCACACCATCAAGGCCACGTGTGTGGGAATCCAACATGATATTGAGAGGAGAGGCTTGGTCAGGCTCGGCCTGTCTAGTTTCACCTTAAATCTGGATTTGAAATTGACCCTCCATCTTGAGAGAAGGAAGAAGGGACTGAAGTAAACCCGTGCCAGGTGTCCGCCACCGCCTGGACTCTGTAACACACCAGCATTTGCCCTTTCTTTTCCCTACAGGGAGTGGAGTGCTGGCAGTGCTGCTCATAGCCGTATTTCTCCAACCCATAGAAGACGCCCAGCAGAAAAGCAAAGGAGAGGAAAAGCCACCATCTTTCTGGTCCACTTTACTGTCAACTTTCAAGCTTCTCAGAGATAAACGTCTGTGTCTCCTCGTTCTGCTGCCAGTGTACAGTGGATTCCAACAAGCCTTCATCACTGGAGACTACACGAGGGTACGAGAGAAAGCTAGAGCCGAGGCACATGTACCATGGTGTACTGCCATACCTCCCTGCGTGTGGATGTCTCAGGGCCACCTGCCCCGAGCCCGGGCTGGAGGAACGGGGCCCCTGGTGGTGTGCAAGGTCCTTATGATAGCTGAGTTCATGGTTCAAGATATCAGCGTCCAGGTGACTTCCAACTCACCTGAGCATGGACTTATCTCCAGGGAACATTCTCACTTAAGATGTATCTTCAGGGGCAAGGATCACAGCTATTCGTGAGTGATCACACACAACATTTATTTGTGTTATGCTTGCCTGCATCCCACCCTGTGCCCTTATTTTAGAGAAGAAATAGGAAAAAACATTAAATCCACGAATAGCACTGAAATTCCTTATCACTCTAGTTTTCAAATTATACGTTACAGTCTAGAAATGGATGTGGCTCTCAGGCATTGTCACCATGCCTACTGGGATCACCCTCTTTTGATGCCCGCCTGACTCACACGCTGCCTGCCCACTTTGTGCAGAGAGGGGACGGTCTCTTTGGGGGCAACCAGAGCAGGGCAGGAAGGCTGCACAAGCAGAGTGACCTTTATCCCCTGGGGTTGGCATAGTTGGAACTCATGGCCACCTTCCACTGTGGCTCTCTCACTGAGTCTCTTCCCTCTAGTTCCCCTGCCCAGGTGGTACCCTGTCCTGAAGAACCTTCTGGAATGCCATGGAAGGGATGCCACAAACAGGGATGTTAGGGAATAGAGATCCTTTCTCCAGAAAGTGTTGGATAGGAGCTGGGTGTTGTAGGGGCTGGAGAGAGCCAGGGCCAAGGCTGGCCCAGTGAGCCTGCATCCCAGGGGCATCCCTCTGATTGCTCTCCTTATCCAGGAGCCTTTTCCTGCTTCATCGCCACCATGGCTCCCTCCTCGGCAGAGTTGCCAAATTAGCAAGATAAAAAGCAAGGTGCTCAGTTAAATCTGAATTTCAGATAAACCACGCATACCTCTTAGAAGAAGAATGCTGCGCTGGACTTGGGCATCCTAGATTTCCTCTGGAGTCCCTACTCCCGGGACAGTCTTGATGGACAGTCCTAGAGTTCCAGAGAGTAAGGACAAGATGGTCCCTTGGTGTGTGGACAGGGCCCCTAGTGTGACTTCAGCCAGTGCCCCCGCCATCCGGATGTAGTCGGCCCTCCTAGCCAGTCCCCTCTTCTGTGTGTCTGTCCTGATTCTGCCCAGGGCCAGGAGCGGTGGGCATGCACATGAGAGGTAAAGAGCTGGCAGCACAGGCTGACCCACGGTCCTGGTTGCGGGCCACTTCACACCTCACTGTCTTGTCGAGGAGCGTTTGCTTTCTTCTTGTCTCTATTGGGAGTCCATTCCCATTGATGAAAGTCCATTTACTTTCAATCTTCTTCTTTTTTATTAAGGCTTTATTTTTTAGAACAGTTTTAAGTTCACCCCACAAGTGAGAGGTGGGTACAGAGTTCTCATATACCTCCTGGCCCCACATGCACAGCCTCCCCATTATCAACTTCCCCCAGCAGAGGGCACATTTGTTACAACTAATGAACCTACCCTGACACATTGTTATCGCCCCAAGTTCACAGTTTACATTAGGGTTCACTCTGGGTGGTGAACATTCTATGGCTTTGGGCAAATATATAACGACATGTATCCATCATTATAATATCCTACAGAGTAGTTTCACTGCCCTAAAAATCCTCTGTGCTCCGCCTAGATTCATCACTCCCCTCTGTCTTCTTTCAGATGTCTTATAGGCCGAATAGGAAACGCTCAACCCCACCAAGAATAGTTCAAATCAGTCCTTATATAAATAATAAGTATAGCACAACATATGGCAAAGGATATATGGGGGGAGTTTGCCCAGACGTCTGTCCAAACCATCCCTCATTAGTTCTTACCCAAAAGGGGATTTTCTTTACAAGCATCAGCATTGTTCTCCCTCCTTGGGAGCCAGAAAGCCTAGACAAAGGTTTCAGGCCACTTCAGCATGTCAGCTGTCACATGGCAGAACATGTCTGAGCATAAATTATATTCCAACCACCAACTGCGAGTTCAGAGCCAGCCCTCGAGGAGGCTTGAGACGAGCGGCCGCTAACGTCACTCTGTGCTTCCCCTCCAGTCGTACGTCACCTGCGCCTTGGGGATCCACTTTGTCGGCTACGCGATGATCTGCTTCTCGGCCACCAACGCGTTGTGCTCTGTGCTGTACGGAAGGATCTCCCAGTACACAGGCAGGATCGCTCTCTACATGCTGGGTAGGCATACACGTTTGCCAGATTCCAGCAAAAATGGCGACACACAGTATAAAGAGTGTGTGCCACTCGGAGAGTGGGTGTGAGGGCTGAGGGTGTATGTGGACTGCTTTGAAGTCAGTAAAGTCCCATAGAAATCCGTCCGAAGTGCACACACATCAGCCTGCACGTTCAGTGTCAAAATCCACCCGAAGAGATCAGTTTGGGGAATTTTAAGGAAACATTATTTATCTAAGACATGCTCAGCTGATGGCAGTGGTTCTTATTTCCCTCTGCACACTCACAGGCACGGTGGTCCACCTCTCCTGCATAATCGCCCTCTTGCTGTGGAAACCACACCCTAACCAGCTGGCTGTGTTCTTCGTATTTTCTGGCCTTTGGGGCACGGCCGACGCCGTCTGGCAGACACAAAACAATGGTGAGTGCCCAACACAGAGCATTTCCTGCTTAGATCTCCCTATCCTGTGTGGGGGACACATAGTGGGTGGAGGACCCGCGAGGGGAGACTTGGTGACGTGGTCGATCAGGGGAGAGGGGAGCAGATAATCAAACAGCCCAAGAGGGCTCCCGATTCGTATTCTGGATGTGAAATATTTTCTCTGAGCGTTTATTCATATCTACGATGCAAAAGAGAAAAATCACCCCTCGGTTCTTCAGGGAGAGATTCTCCTAGGGATGGGCATTGCCCTGCTCGAGTACAGGTGAGCTTCCACCCTGATGGAAGACTGCCTTTCCTAGCAATGGCAGTTCCTTCATGGCCTTCCATTTGAAGCATCTCTGAGTAGAGTGATCGCTCTCTGCATGCTTGGTGCTGGTATATGAAGACAAAGAACCCTTCACGGTGCTCTCAGTCAGCATGAGGAGAGGGATGCATAACTTCCGGAGCAGAAGAGCTTACAGGTTCCTATGATAATGTCTGAGATGGGGAGACGGTCATGTACCATTTGGAGCAGAAGAGCTCACAGGTTCCTATGACAACGTCAGAGCAGGCGGCACTGGGGCTTGGGGTGCTGTCAGTTTTCTGGGAGAACAAAGTGGGGGTCAGGAGGCGAGGTCAGTATGGGATTCATTCTTGACTGAGTCAAGTCCTGGCAGATGGTCCTCCAGGCAGAGCCATGGAGCAGAAGGAGGTCCAGGCAATGGGGAAGCTCCGGGAGCCTCGGGGGAGGCTGGGATGTCGGAAGGGAGCTTTCTCAGTCCATTCGGGATGACTTGACAGGACACCACAGACCAGGTGGCTTGTAAACAACAGACATTTATGTCTCACAGTTCTGGAGGCTGGAAGTCCAAGATCAAGGTGTTGGCAGATTCAGTGTCTGGTGGGGATCTGCTTCATAGATGGCTGTCTTCTCGTTGTGTCCTCACATGGGGAAGGGGCAAGGGAGCTCTCTGGGGTCTTTTATAAGGGCACTGATCCCATTTATGAGGGCTCCACCCTCACGACCTAATCACCTCCCAGACGCCATCTCCTGACGCCATCACATTGGGGTTAGGTTTCAGCATGTGAATTTGGGGGACAAAAGCATTCTGGCCACAGCACATGGGGAGCACTGAGGGTCAGGGTGGGTAGGAGTGCTGAAGGGGTGAGGTGGAGAGGCTGGCTGGCCTGACGTGCGGGTCAGGCATGCCTGGTGAAGGGTCCAGTTTTATTTAGCATCGGTGGAAGCAACAGAAAGGATTCACACCGGAGACGACACGGTCAGCTATGGGAGGTGATCGAGAGACAGAGTGCTGCTGGGGTACCTCAGGTGAAGACAAAACAGACCTGCAGCCATTGAGGCAGCAGCAGCGGGGCCGGGAGGGGGACGTGGGAAGAGAGGGCTCGAGGGGCAGAGCTTCCAGGATGGAATGCACAGGAGGGAAGGAAGCCCCTGCACCCAGCGGCTGGGGCATGCGGGGACCACGGGGCAGCGCTCCCAGGGGCAGTGGCTCAGCATCTTGGTTCACAGGGCGGAAGTGTGAAGGGCAGACACGCAGATGGAGATGGCTGTGCTAGATGCACCTGCTAAGGGCCTTGGCTTCAAATGGGATGGAGAGAGGACATTGGTCAGCAAAAAGATTGGGGAGAGAGAGAGCTGAATGACGACCCGGAGAAAGCAAGCGGGGACAGGAGGACTGAGGAGGGGTTTCCCTTGACCAGGGGAGGGGCGCCCTTTATTTGGGCACCAGGGGAAGGAAGTCAGAATGAAGGACGCCTGGGAAATGTCACCGTGGGGAAAGGAGTTAAGAAAGTACATGCCTGGGAAACGTTATTTTCCCATGGAGCAATGAGCATCTTATAGATCACACTTATGGAGCATTTACAATGTGTGGGGACTGTAAGTCCTTTATGTAAATGCATTCACTCACTCAGCCCTGCCAGGGAGGCACTGCTCATACCCACACTCTGCAGAGCAGGAGACGGGAGCAGAGAGAAGTGAAGTCACTTGCAGAGGTCCTGGGCCATAAGGGCACAGCTGGGATTTGGACCTGGACGTCCAGCTTCAGCCCCCAGCCACAACCGTTATGTTTTGATGGATGACACATGGCAGCCTCAGCAGTCACTCGAGGTTGACGTTGGGAGTGAATAGAGCGGGGGTGAGAAGTGAGGCGGGGGATGGCTGCTGGGGGTGCTAAGGGGGCCTGACCAGGATAGCAGGGCTGGTGAGCAGCATTTACGCCAGCTGAGAGCGGGGAGCGCGTGCGGGCTGGCCCAGTGCCCTCGGATGCTCAGTGACCCAACAGAGCAAAGAGGAGGAGATGTGAGACGGCACCAGCCAGGGCTTACAGAGGGCGAGACTTGAGACGAAGGCATCCAGAGGTCAGATTGTGGGTGATCCTGTGTCTTGTGGGATGTGAGGCCACACAGGAGGATGGCAAGAGGGACACAGGAGAGGAGGAGCTGGCATCAAAGAGGTCAGAGGACCTGGGTCCTGAGAGCGAGAGCGTGAGGTGCTGGAAGGACAGAGTCTAGTCCTCGGCTGGACTATTGGAACCTAAGGTTTCAGGTGGAGGTGTGAGGTCAGGATGTGCCGTGGGAGGGGGTGATGTGGAGTGTGAGTTCTTCCACTGAGCTAGGAGGACTGTTGTTGGATGGAAGCTGAAGTCACCCACGCAGTACAGAAAGGCAGGGATGGGTCGCAGGTGGAGCATGAGTGGCCAGAACCTGGGAGGAGAGGTCCTGCACGAGGCCCAGGGGCCCCGTGGAGTGCAGAGCAGGGAGGCCCGATGTGGAAGTCAGCGTTAAGCACCTTTTTGTTGGCTGGTTGGCTGTGTTGTCTAGAGTGAGATGCGCTATGGCTGGGACCCCTGTGAGAGAAGAAGGATGTGGGGTGTGGGTGACAACACGTGGAGGACAGGTGACCGGAGGGTTACATCTTGGGGGTGGTTGAAAGTGGCTGGGATGAGGACTTAGGGTGGGAACCCTTAGACCTGCGTTTCCCACAAACCCCTCTAGATCCCTGGCGTGGGGAAGGGGTGTCGGAGGCCCCAGGAGATGAGCCGTCTGTGTGTCTGGCAATCTGCAGATTGCTGAGATGCCTCTTGGGGAGCCTAGGAGCTGGATCTGGCACAGAAAAAACCCTCTTCCTTTAGAGACCTCACCGTTCCACCCATAAACACCTGGGGACTAGAAATCAGGTCAGGCCAATCCACACACAAGCCACAAGCCAACGTTTCCAGGGACAAGAGGCCTGGCTGGTATCCCCACATCCTTGGATGACAGGTGCACGTGACCTCATCCGTCACAGACTCAATGCTTTAGGGCGGCTCCCTCCTTGCAATCTTGCGGTTGTTGCGGCTTATGCAACAGCTGAAAAAATATCTTCAACAAACCTAATGCTGGTGAATTTGAGGGATTTGGGTTTCACAATCCTTTCTCAGTCATACAGGTGGCTTTGGTGAAGTTTGAGCCAGATGACAAACGTGTGTTTGGCTCAGTGCGGTAATCTGGTGTGTTTGGATCAAGGGCATACCTGGAAGCAGAGACTACAGCTGTTCACAAGCTGGACTTGCAATATTGCTGAAGAGAAGAAACATTGGTTCAGCAGAGGAGGGAGACACAGAAACTCACGTTAGCTTTTCTCGGCAGTTCAGAGTTACAAACCAGTGACAGGGCACCTTACCTGTCAGAATCCGGGGCATCTTACCCAATGAGCTTCAGGAGAGAATTTCTTTCAACATCCCCATGGAGGTGTGCAAGACACCAGTATTTTACTGAACACTCCAAATGCATATGCCCTCTTGCTATCTAAAACGTTAGCTGATGTTTCTGAATTCACTTCAATTTCAAAAAGTATTTATACATTAAAAGTCAAGTAGGGGATTGGGGTAAGTAGCTACAATACGCCATACAGTAGTTCTCCAGGTGTTTCAAATGATTGCAATAAATATACTTGGTTTTCTTCCTCTCTGAGAGATAGGAACAAACGCTTTACTTCACTCTCCCTTTCTTTTCATGGACATAAGAGACGGTCAGGCAAAGCCTTTGTCAAGACTGTACAAAGTTGCATAATGTCCAGTGAATGGCTTGGATATTCAAGCCCAATGAATGACTTGCATAAAGATTCCCTTGGATGCTAATTTAAAATGAATTATTTCTGTCTTTTTGTCCAGATAAAAAGTAATTTTTTTCAAGGAAAATAGGTTGTTGGGGAAAATTGTTCTTTTCATATATTTGCGAATTTCTCTTGGACTCGACACTCGCAATCGTCTCAGCTAGGTGTGATGTTTCAATAACTGAATTCCTCGCTGGCTGGCTCCACCTGGATCTCAGAACTGGCCCCCTGCAGTCTGGCACATCCTAGGGTCTCTATTTTTTTAAAAAACTGGAAACTTTATGTAGCTTTTCCCGCCTCCCAAGAACAGCTCTCTCTCATTTTTGTTTTTCTTAAACAGCAAGTTAGATTTCCAATCCTCTTCTCTCTGAATGTGTGTCTCTCTTTTAAGAAAATACGTGAGCCACATACTTTCCTAATTAATGAAACTGAATACAATTCAGTGCAATTTAAGCCTCCTTTTCAGTCATCCTGTCTCAATGTAAAAACTGATCATTACAGTTCTGCAACTTAGAAGCAGATCAGATGACAGAACCACACGAGCCGCTCTGTCCCCAGGCGGAGTTGTGCAACTTGCTGATCGCTACTCCCTCCCCACTGGGCTCCAGGAGTTCCTTCAGCCTCGGGAGCAGTAGATCTGGGCCAGTAACTCCTATCTGTTTATTCATCCTGACAGTTCATGAAAGATGGGTACCGTTGCCATAACAACCCTTACACGCCAATGCGCTGCATCTATGATTCAGAATGTCTGGTCTAAAAATACTCTCTGGCCCTGTTAGAGGCCGAAGGGGCTATTTTCGGGTTGATGGACTCAGAAGGTCTGACTCCTCTTACATGCCCTGTTCATTTAACCTGTCTTTTCCAGCCAAATGAGACTAACTTG